GGTTGGACAAACATCCTTGTGCCCTTCCAATTTTGGGGAAGTCTTTTTTACCTTGTGGTGGCTGAGTTTGATTAGACACATCCTTAAGTAAGAAGCTCTTATTAAGAAATGTGTGATCACAGCTCAGGGCTGTCTGCTGTTTAATAGTAAGATTATTGAAAACTTTCTGCAATCTTCCTGTAAAATTTGAGGTCTCGAACGTTATCTCGATTTGGTTCTGCTTTCGGGATACAAATTTAGCCTCGATATGGCGTGGCCCGCTCGGCATGAGCCATAGGTCAACTGGAGATCAAAACCTTTGACAGTCGCGCCCTTCGCTCCAGGTGGGGCTTTGTCGCTTCGGAAAGCTTTCTGCGCTTGAAATCAGAATAGCATTTGGCGATAAATGAAGCTGCGATAGCTGCAATATATGATATGGGTACATCTAAGCTGATGAGCAGCGATGAAGCTGAGTGCCTTCAGCAAAGCTCAAATGGCAGTGAAGCATGGTCTCACGATAAGAAAGGTATAGCTGTCGAATCTAATGCTTTTCTTAATATAACTTTTTTGGAACAGAAATGAGCATCCCCCGAAAATTGTACCTCTGGTGGGACGTGTTGTGGTAGCTTTGAGCAAGCGTTCCCTTTGTAACGGGGTTACACGTACCCTGGTATGAGGGGGTGGGTCACACACGATGGTGTGACCATACAAGGGTGTGGGCTACATAAGACGGAGTAATTACACAATGGTGTGGCTACACCTTAACAAAAAGTCAGTACGTTGCTGGACTGCCAGTAGTATTCATATTCATTAGGTTTTACTATTTAATTAGGAAAACGATTGATTTATAAATAGCGGTTTTGCCGCAAAAAATAGAAATACAGTTCACATTTTAGACGGAAGAATTTAATTGCCTTTGGTTAAGGTTGTGATCACTCTTACAGTAAGCGGATTGCGATCCGCTACACTTGTACTGGTTCTTAGTATAGTACGAAGGTCACTGATCTTAGCTAAGCTTCCTCTAAGCGAAAGAACTACGGCAGCCGAGCTGCAACACCCGGAGTCTTTGGCAGGCCAAACCCAAAATCCATACTATTGGACTGCCAACACCCGGAGGGACCGGTAAACTGGCCAGCGGCGCCACCGCATCCGGAGAGGGTTTGACCCTTTGACACGTCTCCCACGTGCGCACATTAGTG